GGGGCATCGTCATCGTGGTTGGTGATGTCGCTCAATAGGGTCTTGAAGATGTTGGTTTGACCTGAAACGAGGTTATTGTTTTGGCTATTTAATTGTGTTTCTTCCTTCTCATTATTGGTGTTTCAAATTTTTAGTTAAGATTTTTAATCTTATCTCTTAATTTTGAATGTAATTTTTAACTTTATCGTAACAACGAAATTATATCATCACTAGCCACCAAGTTCATATGTCACATCATCTTTTGATGATCTTCTTTAACGATGAAATTATCACTATTTCGTAAACGTGCCGACACTAAGATGTTCAAATTGAAAAACACGATTTAACCATGCTATTTGATGAAAGATTCAATGCACTAAGCTGAAATTAACCTTGTAATTTATTACTTCTTTTTTCACTTTTTCTCTTTCTGCTGAATATTGAAAGATATACAAGACCAGCCTTGGTGGAAAACCATGTCCGCATTCATGGACCCTCATTAGAAATCATTATCTTTTCGTAAAGTGTGGTGCAAGCGATAGTGACAACATCCACATTCGCACCATGTGATTATCTAATTAATGACTCTATTCTTCTAACAGCAGTGAGTTAAATCAGTTGGTCAAACTAGTGTATTGATTTTTTGTATTTTAGTTCGATCCTGTACTCTGTATATTAGACTAAAATATCGCTTTATAAAAAAAAAAATAAAAAAAAAACCACCAAGTAAAGAAGCAAAGCTACGCACCTGAGGGTTCTTTTTTCCTGTTTTGTTTAGTTCAACATGAGGGTCACCTTCTGGAAGCAGGACAAGCTTTTGTTTACAACAATTAGCTTCTGTACTTTGTGATTTTTGTTTTGCAATTGATTCGTGCTCAAGAAAAAGAAAAAGATTCCTCAACAAAAAAAAAACAAAACAATCTCTTAGAAGAAACAAAAAGGGGAAAAAATAATAATGGATTCAAAAATTAGACGACAAAAGAACAAATAAATTTGAGAGATTAAAACAGATTAGCATGTATTGCAATGGGATGATGAGAACGACGTCGTAGTGGACTCTTAGTGGACCCTTTGAAAATGTTGGCGTTCGTGACGATAAGGTTCATGGGTTTTAACGAAAATAAACAAAGGATAAGATAAATATTTAAAATTAAAAAAAATAAAAAAAATAAAAAAAGATGGGGCGGGTTTTTCACATGGGAAGGAGGAATGTAACACGTGCCTAACAAAACAAAAATAAAAAAGGCAAAAAAGAAGCGAAACGTGCTTTTACGACACGCATCAAGCAAAACGTGTTTTTAAATATTTAAGGGGTATATTATTATACGAGCAAATTGTAATAAATTAATGATTATCTGGTGTGGGAATTTTGAAAACGGGGGAAAGGACGAATTAGGGGCGACCAGATCAAGGGCCAGGATTCAATCAGCGAAGCCAACGCGTCCCCACCCTTTTTGTCTTTTATGTTTTATATTCCGTCCTTCAGTCGTTGTCCGCTACTCGATTCAAAGTAATTAACCTGAGAGGAAAACAGGAGCCTCAGATGGATGGCCGATTAGTTCGATGGCGTGCGCCGAGGATTTGAATTTTCACTGCTGCTGTGCCGAGAGGCGGCTACTTCGTGGAACCTAACTGTACGAAGGTGATGAACATGGATGCTTTGCTTCGTATTTTAGAACAGTTTGTGCATCTCTTTGTCCTTCTCAACTGTTGTTTACTAATCTTCGTATTGGACATGTCATCATTGAGACAGTTCATTGCTTAAGTCACAATTTAAAAGTAATATCTTTAGAAAAATAATTAGAGATCGTTTAATAATGCATGTGTGTGGAACAAATTTATGATTTTAGTAACGGTTAAGATCCTTATGATGAATTGAGTATTTATTTGATACATATAGATAACTAAACGATCTAGAGCTGATTTGTTGTATAGATGAACAGTTTCAATTATGACATATTCACAAGGAGGATTTGTTAATCATAATAACTATAGCGGACAACAAAGTGCACCCGGAACATCCTTTGTAAAAATAGCAAACAATAGCATATGCATTTGTACATTGTGTTTGATAATCATTTCATTTTTACCATATTGAAAACAAAAAACTTGTTTTGCAACTAATTTTAGTTTTATTATTATTATTATTTTTATTTTTATAACTCAAAACTGTTTTCAATTTTTTGTGGAACTTGGATATTGAATTTTGTTGGGGTCAAATTGTAAATTTGAGATCATATAATGAAAGTACATGTTACAAATGGTCCGTAGTATTTTTCGGTGAAATTTTTTTGAAGTTAGGATTATTTTATTTATTTATTTTTGTAATTTTGGATCTGGAGGTCCTAACCGCAATGCATTACAATTTTGGTGATGTAAAATTGATGAATGAGAAAGGAGCGAAAAAAAAAAAAGAAAAAGGAAAACTGAAAACACTTTCAAGTTGTTTTAACAAATACGGGAAGTTTTCAAAACAGGCCACCACTTCTTTTTTACCTTTTCTCCTCCACTAAACTCTTTACTCAGATGCTTTGAAGCTCTAAGGAACTCTCTCTAAAAAAAAACCATAAGGAACCAACTCCAGCCACCGCCGCCCTTTTGGGGGTGGTGGCATCCTTCCCCACCCATCTCCACCTCTTTCCCCTCCTCTCCTTCTCTACCCTACCCTTCCCTCCCCTCCCCTTCCCTCTTCGCCCATCCCCTCCCCAATTTTTGGTGAGGATGAAGTAGTAGTGCGCTAGTAGTTTCGTTGGCGAATTTGGTGGCAAACGAGGGGGTTGAGTGGGTTTTACTCACTTGTTATGTGTTTACAATTTCTTGAGTTGTTATAATTGCATCAACTGTTTATTTGTAGTCTAGTCTCTACTTGTGAGAGTTGTAATTGTATTGGTAGTTTTAGGCAACATACCATTGCCGTAATTTTATAAAAATTTTACTGACAACGATAATTTGTCGATGTTTCCATGTTTTTAGACTACTGATATTTCTAAAACAATCAATATTTAAGACCACACGCATATCCCCCACGATCTCCTTCACACACATATCTTTTTAGTAAGTTTGTATATAAGGTAAATTTAACCCACTGCATTTTGAAATTCTGGGTCCGTTCTTAGCTTGTGTGGCTTATGATTTTTGTGCCAAATTTATGACTACAAACTACAATTATCGTTTTCTCTCTAGAAAGGGTGATTTTGAAAATTAAATTTCATTTTTTTGAAAACAGAAAACAAAATATGTTATCAAACAAATTGGGTATATTGTGCTATTAGGGTTTAACAAATTGGGGGAAGATTAAATGCGCTTTACAACCCTCTGTTAGAGGGCGTCACAAGTAGAGGGAGAAGATTAAACGTCTTTTATAATAAATAAATAAAAAAAACTGCATTTAGCAGAAGATAACGGGATATCTATAAATTATGAACTTTAGGAAACATAGTGACTAATTTGGCTTTTTTTTTTCTCAGTGACCAAATTGAATTTTCGTGCAAATCCTAGTGACCAAAAAGGTATTTAACCAATAAAAAATAGGCTTAAGTGCTACAGTGCACCCTGAAACATTAGTTAAATCCCAGTTTACCCTCTTAAAGTCAAAGTGACACACTCTGCTCCATTGACCAAGGTTTGATGTTCCATATTGCCCCTACCATAACTCCATCAAATGTCCGTTAAGTTTGATGATGTGGCAGATGTGTGTTAGTAATTTTGAAGGGAAATCACTTCCTATGTCATTTCCCAAGGGATGAGAAATGAAGATTCTTTTCCTATGTTTGGTAATCTTGGGAAAGTAATCAAGAAATACTACTTTATTTTCTTTCACATGTTTGGTTTATGTAGGAATATAAAACAAAGTTTGTTTAATTTTCCATGTATACCCATATGAAATCAAAAAAAAAAGAAAAGCATTTAATGTTATATTATAATTCTAAATTGTTAACGAGGGCAATATGATCATGAAAAATGACTATGTCATTTCTAAAGGGATGAGAAATGAAGATTCTTTTCCTATGTTTGGTAATCTTGGGAAAGTAATCAAGAAATAGCACTTTATTTCCTTTCACATGTTTAGTTTATGTAGGAATATAAAATAAAGTTTGTTTAAATTTCCACGTATACCCATATGAAATCAAATTTTTAAAAAAAGAATGCATTTAATGCTATATTATAATTCTAAATTGTTAACGAGGACAATATGATCATGAAAGCTGTGTATTTAATGTTGGCTCATAACTTTCCCATGAGGAGAAAAACAAAACCCAAGTAGATTTGAGGGCTTCACTTTCCCCCCTACTTTCCCAAGTGCAAAGCAATGATTACCAAATATGAAAAATAATAATTAATTTCTTATCCCCAAGCCTCTTTTCCCATGAACCAAACAAGAGTAAAATGATATTTAACCCATGTTTCAAAATGAATTAAGCTTAAAAAATTATACTAATTATATCATTTATGTGCAGCATTCCTCGAATAAAAAGTCGACTAATAATTTTAATTGTTCATATAAATATATAATTATTAATAATCTGATGTTTGAAGTAATTAATTCAATACAAAAGATTATGCCGTTATAAGTTTCTGAATAAATTCAGCCTTTATTCCAAGATAAGTGCCCCTTCCTCAATGCAATGTACCTATCGCTAATTCTTAAAAAAATAAAGCTTCCGAATAGATTCAGCCTTTTATTCCAGTCAAAAGATTCTGCAGTCAAACTTTTACTCCATTACTCGTGTGAAATAAAGATATTGGAAAATCATCTTATCCCAAAAACCCACATTTCTATTGTTATTATCATTTTCTATTTAAACTTATGTTTTTGTAATAAATAAGCCACACCTCCGCACGTGATTATGGTGTTAGTGTTGCAACTTGCAGTGTCGGAAAACTCCAAAGCCCTTTCCGCATGGTCAAAAGTCAAAGAGTTTCCAGCTGTGACACTTGTGACGCACGTCCAAGCTTTTGATAGATGTACATACGCCGGCTTTTGGAGAATCTACGCTGGCGATTAAATCGGCCAACCCGATTTTCCCCGAAACTCCCCTTCTTTTTTACTCGGCTTGCGCTAGTAAACTTTTTGTCCGCTCACTCTCTCCTCCACCCTCCACCCACTTTCCTCCCCAACCAAAATTCAGCTCAAATGCTCTCCAAATAAATCCCCAAACACAAATTCAAAACTCCCCAAATCGAAATTCTCTCTCTCTCTACCTTCTCGTTTTCTCTCCGCACCTTATCCTCTCTCCCTCCTCCACAACTACTCTTACGTCACTAAGACGGTATCGCTCACATGACGGACTATCGGATACCGCCGACGATGAATCTTTGGACGGACGACAACGCGTCGCTGATGGAGGCCTTTATGAGCTCATCCGATCTGACGTCGTTTTGGGCGGCGCCATCGGCCCAGCCCACGCCTCAACCCGCTCACCCCCAAGCCCAGCCTCAGTCGTCAGCCTCCACTTCAGACTACCCGAAGGCGGCTGCTGTCGCGCCATCTCAGCCGTCCATCACGCCCTTCAACCAGGAGACCCTCATGCAGCGCCTCCAGGCCCTCATCGAAGGCGCCCGCGAGAGCTGGACCTACGCCATCTTCTGGCAGTCCTCGTACGACTACTCCGGCGGCACCGTTCTCGGGTGGGGTGAAGGGTTTTACAAGGACGAGAGGGACAAAGGCAAGGCGAAGGCCAAAACGACGACGTCCGCCGCCGACCAGGAGTACAGGAAAAAAGTCCTCCGCGAGCTCAACTCCTTGATTTCCGGGGCCGACACGTCAGCAGACGACGCAGTAGTGGATCAGGAGGTGACCGATACCGAGTGGTTCTTCCTGGTCTCGATGACTCAGTCGTTCGTCCCCGGCGGCGGGCTTCCGGGTCAGGCCTTCTTTCACTCGACCCCGGTCTGGGTTGCTGGACCGGACCGGCTGGCGGCGTCCCCGTGCGAGCGGGCGAGACAGGGCCAGGCGTTTGGGCTGCAGACTCTGGTTTGCGTTCCGACGGCAAATGGGGTGGTTGAGCTGGGCTCGACGGAGCTCATCTACCAGAGCTCGGATCTGACAAACAAAGTCCGGGTTTTGTTCAATTTCAACAATTTGGAAGTGGGTTCGTGGCCTATGAGCGGCGGCGGTGCCGATCAGGGAGAAAACGACCCGTCGTCGCTCTGGATTAACGATCCGTCGTCCACCACCATCGAAGTCAAGGACCCGGTGAACATGACTCCCGTTACTTCGGCACCCACCAGCACCAGCACACAGCCCGTCTCGAAGCCAATTCAGTTCGAAAGCCACCAGCCGAGTTCCAGTAGCTTATCGGAGAACCCGAGCGCGATTCAATTACAACAATCGCAGCAGCAAGTACAGCAGCAGACGCAAAGCTTCTTCACCAGGGAGCTCAATTTTTCCGATTATGGTTACGACGGGAGCAGCGTGAAGAACTCCAATTCCAATTCGTTGAAGCCTGAATCGGGGGAGATTTTGAGTTTCGGTGAGAGCAAGAGGAGCTCTTACAGCGCCAATGGAAAATTGTTTTCGGGGCACTCCCAAATTGCCGCCGCCGAGGATAACAACAGCAAGAAGAAGAGGTCGCCGCCCTCTCGCGGCAGCAACGACGAGGGGATCTTGTCGTTTAGCTCGGGGGTGATTTTGCCGTCCAGTGGTGTCGTGAAATCGGGCGGCGGTGGCGCCGCCGATTCGGACCACTCCGACCTTGAAGCCTCGGTGGTTCGGGAGACTGATAGTAGCCGGGTTGTGGACCCAGAAAAACGACCGAGAAAACGGGGTCGTAAACCGGCCAACGGGAGAGAAGAACCCCTGAACCACGTTGAAGCAGAGAGGCAAAGAAGAGAGAAGCTTAACCAGAGATTCTATGCTCTCCGAGCGGTGGTACCAAACGTGTCGAAAATGGACAAGGCATCGCTTCTGGGCGATGCCATATCGTATATCAACGAGCTGAAGGCGAAGCTGCAGACAGTGGAGAGCGATAAGGAGGATTTGCAGAAGCAATTGGAGTCGATGAACCAGGACTTGGGTTGTAAAGACTCGAGTTCTCTGTCAGACCAAGACCTCAAAATGTCTAAACACCAAGCTAGTAGTAAATTGATAGACTTGGATATTGATGTGAAGATAATCGGATGGGACGCCATGATTCGAATTCAGTGTTGCAAGAAGAACCACCCTGCAGCCAGATTAATGGCTTCTCTCAAAGAGCTTGATTTGGATGTACACCATGCCAGCATTTCTGTAGTCAATGATTTGATGATACAACAAGCCACTGTGAAAATGGGCAGCCGAATTTACACTCAGGATCAGCTCAGGTTAGCTCTTTCATCGAAAATCGGCGACTCCCGGTAAGAAAAATGGGAACCAGGGGTGAGGAGAAACAGAGAGTTTGTTTTGGATTTCAATGGTGGTTCAGGGCTTTTGGGACATTTTAAGGCTCCCGACAAAGCAGCGAGCTCTGTTAGATACTGGTTCCACGCGTTTCTCATGTCTTCTTGGGTAGCATTTTGTTTTAGTATAGATTGAGTTTGAGGAGCTGAAACAATTTTATTAGGTCCAAAACTACATGGCTCCCTCCCCTTTCAGTGAAAATAGCTATATTTTTTTGTTCTGTTTTTTGGTGTCAATTTTCTGTCTTTCTTCTTTGTGTATATAAGTGTTATAAATTTGAACCCCATGGGAGTTCTGGTTAGTGATGTAGAAGTATGTATTTCAGAATGTAACATTTGTATTCTGTTATGTCCACTACTGGATTCAGCAATCAAACATGTTGAACTTTCTTCAACTTTTGATCTTCCCCAGTTATTGTTGGATTTCCTCAATTTTTCTATGCACAAGTTTTCATCAATTTACTTGGTTTTTTTTGGGGTAAAGAATTGAGCTTGCAGATTTCAGGTGCGTGAATTTGTCTGTGGCAAGTGGTTTTAGTGCGATGAATTCAGCATATACCAGAAGGGTGAAATTCTAGCCATTATACAAGCGATAATCTATTTTAAACTAATATTTAAATTACGAGGAAGCGGATTCGAAATATATCTGCATGGCAAAAGCCTTTTTCTGTTCCTACAGGTTATCTATTTTTGTTGCTGAAAATGCACCGACACTAATGGATCAAAAAAGGATGCAGCACAGTTGGAAATTCTTTGCCATATTTAGTAATTGCAGTTACCATTCTGTAAATGGAGCAAATATTATGCATCATGGAAGCAAGCAGTAAACATAAAGGAACACCAAAAGAAGTTGGTTTCTCACTTTCTCTTATTGTTTTCTCTTTTACCTTTGGCATCCACATTTCTCCTAATATAACCAATGCTTTTTGCCTCAATGCGGGTTTAAAAAGGACTTGAAGAACAGCTCATACGTGGTAAATTTCCAGAACATTGAGTATCTCATGATTTTTTTTTTTCTCCTCACCTTTATAATAGTCACATGCATGAAGCAGGGCCAGTGGGGTATAGGCATTTTGGTACAGCACAGTAGATACATGTGTTTTTCATTTCTGGAGTTGGAGGAGCAATGAATCAGAATTCAGAAGAGGAGGAGAGAGAGAGAGTGAAAAAAGAGCCTCAAATGTTGATTTTTGTTGATCATGTTCTATTCAGTCCTGTTGGGTTCTTCTGGTGCGGCCCAGAAAGTGACCCTTCATGCCTTGCATTGCATGACTCAAATATAAAGGGATTTACTACCTAATGAGAGACCATTTTTAATAAAAAATAATTGTTTTGAAATTAATTCTTTTTGCTCAACTTGTGGTGTGGGTGTCTATATCAATCAATCAGCCTTCAGAAAACTCACATTTTTAATTTTAAAAGAAATATCTGCTGACTAACTTTTTCTGTTAAATGTAGTAGCAAAATGATATTTTTATATTAAAACAAAAAAAATGAATGAAAAATCATATCTTGAAATAACAATAAAAGAAAATCAAATAAAAAACCAACAAAAAATAAAATAAAATAAAAGTTTGGGGGAGTAGAAATCGGAATAGAGGGGGGAGAGAGTTTTATGTCAATTTTTTTTATTCATATTTTAATCAATTTAATACAAAAATACCATTTTGCTCCTGCATTTAACAGAAAAGTTAACAAAATTTATGGCAGGACCATTTGTCATAACGAAACTAAAGTTGAAAGACCATGGGAAAAATTTTAAAAATTGATGGACTCAAATGCAAATTGGGTCTAAGCTTATGGACTAATAAAACTATTAACCCTTTTGGGGTTTAAACCCCTTCATATGTCTTCTTTTATTTATGTTTATATTAATCGGGATAGAAATTTGAACTTGCAATCTCTTCCAATATTGTGAAGAGAAATACCACTAGAACAAGATCTAGTTATAGAAAGTGTGAAAAAAAAACCTTTTTACTTAATAAAAAAGCACAAATAAACTATATAGATTGTGAGACTATGTCTATCTTTTTAGAAGTGTGTGATTAGACCATCTCCAACCATGAGGGCCAAACCCAAATTTTAGGATTATAGCCCCAAAAACCTTCTCCAACCATGTATAATGAGGGGTGGTAATTTGGGTCAGACTGAAATCTTGGGTGGAATTTGGCCCAACTTTCCAGTCCGGGTGGAATTTCTGTGGGCCCCAAGTCGAAGCCAACTTGTGCAGCATGTGAAGGAATGACAAGACAGGGCAAATTGGCTGGACACGTGGAAGGCTCGCATCAAAGGGACGTTGGAATCCAACAGCTCCCTTTGAAAACCAATTATGCATCTACTTGTTCTTTTTTTAATTCTTTATATAATCTTTTGGAGCCTTTAAAAGCTGGCCACGTGTAAAGCAATGGGAACCAACTTTTTGTCATTTTTCAAGCTTTCTCAAATAGATATAAACAGCCCATATTTTTTTCAACTTGATTTTTAACGAGAAAAAGAAGATCCAATTATCAAAATTAAAATCAAATGGTTAAAATAATATTTGTAATTTATCTAAATGAGATCCCACTCTCAAACTATACAATCATTCTCATTTTAATTTCAAGCCAAAAAAAATGTTATGTTCATGGAATTTTAATTTTTTTAGATTAAAATGTTTAGAAAATTAATTCACGAATGTTGAAACAAAATTAATGTCAAGAAAAATTAATGACAAAAAAAATTTAAGCGTTAATCATTCTTAAACAATTTAATAAAGTTGCGGACTCAAATTATGAGTCCGCAAGGTTGGAGGAAAAAACAGTTTGAGTCCTAAAAATACATGAATAGTTGTATTTTGGAGGGTGAAAATTTGAGTTTAGCGCTAACATGGTTGGAGATGGTCTTAGGCGAATCAATTTTTAACGGTTGCATATGAGGACTTTAACTTGAGGTGGCAAGATGTGAAGAGGATTTAAAATCCCTATACTATTATTACTATTTGTGTTTAATTAGTTGTTTTGTTAAAGTTTATTAGTATTTTTTTTTTATTGCTTATGTTATTGTAGGGTTTTATTTTCTTCTAAGTTCCTGTTCATATTTTAATCTGGATTTGTGAAAAAAAAAGTTTCTTCATCACATTTAGCATGACATTTTCAAACGATGAATAGGGAGACTAAACTTTACCAGACACAACTTTGCTTTGGTTCAAACTTCTGATCACCCTCATCTCTATGTCCCAGAAAATGGATGATTTCATGGAATTTCGTTCAAGCTATGTGAATAAACAGCCTGGTTTTGGAGGGAAAATGCTCTATGATTTAGTGATCGGGATAGTTGAGGCTTAGGTTATTCTTAAGCTGAAAATTTAGGCATACGTACCAAAGAGGAAGAAACTAAAATGAAAGTTTCTGTCTAATCAGTTTCATATGAATACATACCAATAGTTTCTCGACTTTCAGAGCAGAAATGTTGCTATCTAGCTATACCTAGGAAATAACTCAACTCTAAAATTAAATTTAACTAAAACATATATCTATCTATCTAACAGCATTCTAAGATAACACAGATAACAATATATCAGGCGCTCGGATCATGTGAGAACAGCTATGTGAGAACCTTATATGAAAATCAATCGCAGCCGTTGAAATGCATATGAATGGTTTAGGAGAAAAAGTAAGCTTACGGTGCAAACAGGTAGGCTACAGTTTCTCCTTAGCCCATGTGTCAAGTCACGCTTGTTTCGAAAAAAAATGAGCCTTTGTTCGTCTTGACAGTTGCGCCTTTCTTCTAAATGAATTTATGAAAGTAAATTTAGGTTTTAGCCAAAAAAAAATTTTCACTTTTGGAAAAAGCCAAAGCTTTTTCAAAAAAGACAGAAAAACCTCTCAACTTTTAAATCAAAGACATGCAAACGTAAAGGATTTCTTAGGAATCCAAAAATAAATAAGGGCAATTTTGTCCATTTTGGCTTCTTTTACAAATTTTCTCTCTCCTTTGTGTTTTTCCAAAGTCTCCCATTTATGAATGAACCCTAATCATAACATCCAAAATTTCACATACCAAACATAAATTTATGTATTCCTCTTCTCTTGTCGCAGAAACTCCCTAGTCTACTCTTTCTCTTTCACTTACTCTTCTGTTATCGCAAAACCTCCTTCATCTAGTCTTTTACCTCCCTCATCTAGTCTTTCTCATCTGAACGTCTAAATCGGCATGTTTCTCTTGAATTCCCTCTCTCTTTCATATTAAGGTTTGCATGTTATATTGCATTCACTTAATGTTTAAATTTTGTTTAGGATTTTAGGGCTTTGATTTTCTGGGTAAGTTGTGTTTGCAAAAATATAAATTGGCTTCAGTTGCTTTCTTGTGTTGTGTTTTCTAGTTTCTAATAATTTGTTGAAGCATAGTAACTCTTTTTTAAAGTTTTGCTGCGGTTTAAATATTCTTTCATCTTTCCAAAATTTGGGGGTTTTTTTTTTTTTTGGTTGCAATTCTTTGTGGTAATTTGTTGAAGTGTAGATTCACAGTTGTTGCCTCTTCCCTTTTTTTATTTTATTTTATTTTTATTTTTATTTTTTATGTTTTTTTTGTTGGCATTCTACTTGTTGGTTGTCTTTTCTTAAAATTCCAAGAACCTTTATCTGTTTGCTTTGACCCTCATTGTAATCCTACTTTGCCCATCTAGTGGTGTGAGTGTAGGGCATCATTTTAGTGATTTAATGGGGATTGGAAAACAAATAATAAGTACCATTAGAAGTAGAACGCAGAAGAGAAACTTGAAGATCTTAACAATGAATATGAGATGATTTGGGAGGCATAAGGATCAATGCATCTGGTAGTAGGTATCAATTATGTATATTAATGTGTTGAAAATAGTGTTGTTATGTATCAGTTCTGTATCTTAATGTGTTGAAATAGTGTGCAGGTGAAAATTATGTATCTTGATGTGTTGAAAATAATATGTTTGGAAAATAGTTTAATTAGGTATCAATTTTGTATCTTAATGTGTTAAAAATAGTGTTTGTAGGTATTAATTATGTAAATGTGATGAAAATGTGTTGATAATATTGCGAGTAGGTATCACTTCTGTATCTTAGTGTGTTTATAATATACAAATTTATAAATAAACCCAATTCTAGACATGTATTTATAAAAAAACCCAAGCACTATTTAAACATAGAAACACACCCAAAATCAACCCCAAAGTTAACTTTTTGGGTGTGTTTATAAATGGGTTTTGAGTGTGTGTAATGATGGGTTTTGGGTGTGTTTATAAAGTGTTTTGGGTGTTGGGTTTTTTTATAATTTCAACCTCCATTTTGGGTGTTTTAGTGAAACTCCCTTTATAATATTGTGAGCTGGTGCCCACCCCTCAAGGGTTTGTTACAAAATTTTCAGGTGCATTAGCCATGTCATGTGTTTGGTGGGGTTGCATATGATTTAGATGATATTCTTCATTCGTAGGACAATATTTGTATTTGATTTTTTTAAAATTTCTATTATGTTTGGTTGTAAGTTTTTTTTCGACATAAAAAAGAAGAAAAATTGGGAATTGAATTTTTTTTATTTTATAGAGTTCTACTCCACTGGAAATTCGCTTAGTTTAAAAGGATATGTGTGATAATTATCTTATGTATTTGATTTGTGATACAATTCCTTTTCCTTGGTGCCCAAGCAGGCAGTGAATCTGTTCTGTAACAAAAACAAGCGTATTTATTTCCTTGGAAGCCTAAAGATCAATCAGAGAGAGAGAAAAAGAGAGAGAGTCCAATTTGAACTAAGAAGGTTCAATTTCACGAGGAATTACAGATGAAGAAAGCAGTAACGCTTCAAATGTGTTTCAATTTCAGGAGGGTTCTGAAAATAATGGCTCCTCCTGCTGCTACTCGTACAATTCCAACTTCAACAACCCTTCTTGTCGGTCCTCCTCAACTGCTCACAAGAAGGTTAATGTCTTCCAACTCTAACCTTGACATGGCCGAGGCCGACACGATCTCCACCAACCCTATTTCGTTCTCCTCGTGGTATTCCTTCGGTGATCCCTGCCTTGATATGTTTTTTCATGTGAAAAGTCGAGATCAAGATCACATCAGTAACGACGACGAAGATGACGACATCAAGCAGGAGAGGCGGAAACAGACCTCCCATTATAACCATTATAGGCTTAACTATCTGAAGCAACTGCTGCCGGTGGCCTGGTCCCACAATCCCCTGACCACCCTCAAGCTCATCTTCAATCTCCATTCTAGGATTATTCGTAAGGGAAGAAATTATCCGGAAGCCTTTCACACAGCCGTGTTTTGGCTCCACCAGAACCACCCCAAGACGCTACTATGCAACCTCCCCGCCTTCGCAGGTTGGAAATGGGGTTTCGATAACCTTCTCGACATTCTCTACGGCCTTCTAGAACAAGGCCAAGACGCTACTGCGGAGGAGAGGCTCCACCGTGACCCTGACTATAAGTTGTTACACGACCAGGTTATGGATCTCTTGGCGGAGCGGTGGAAGTCTGATATTGAAAAATTGAAGCAGCACAAGCTGGAACTAAAGTCATTCCAAGACTGGGACCAACTTGATGAGGCTGATCATCTTTTGGTATCTGGGACTGCAGCGGTTTGCAGCCTCCCCGACCCCCACACCAGCTCCATTTTGCTTCGTGAAAGCATTGCGAGGAGGCTTTTCCCACCAGAATCGGATCAATCCGAAGAGTGGGAACGGCTAACCAACGCTTTGGAGCCCTTTTTAAATTACTACATGCATCGAGCCTTACATGGGAACCACACACTAGAGCGCGCTGAGGTAAAATGTTTGGAGGAGGTGAAAGCAGCAGCTGCAGCAGGAGGCAATTTAGGAGGCGGCATAATAAAGCCGGATGCTTTGCTTCCAAATGAGATCATGAAATATGCAGAAGATGAGGATTTCGGGGAAGCGGCAAACCTTCAGTGGAAGGCAATGGTGGAGGACATGTACCTGAAGCAGCGGCAAAAGCAGGGGGAAGAAGGTTTGGGCAAATTTAAAAACTGTTTGGCAGTGTGTAACATCACTGATCACACGGCCAAATTACAAAGAGAATTGGGGGTGAGTTTGGGACTTTTGGTTTCGGAACTGAACGAAGATCCGGCATGGAAAGGAAAGGTGATCAGTTTCGGTGATTTGCCCGATGGTCAGTCTCAGCCGCTGCTGCATTCGATACAAGGCGATGATCTCAAGTCCAAGTGCGAGTTTATGATGAGGACATGTCGCATGAAGTCCAACGAGAGTGTCGATTTTCGGAAGGTGTGTGATCTGATTCTGGAAGTGGTTGAGAATGAGAACTTGAAGGCAGAGCAGATGATCAAGAAAGTGTTTGTGCTCACCGACCTCACAGGATTCTTTAGCTGCACCTCGAAGACTCTGTATGAAGCAAAACAGAGCAAGCATGAGGAGCTTGAGGCTTCCGGATACGATGCGTGGCCATTGCCTCACATTTTGCTTTGGAATATTAGTGAATGGAAGTATCCTCATTCAGAAGAACATCATCCAGGGGTGACGCTGATGAGTGGCGTCAACGACAATTTGATCAAGTCCTTCATGGACAATGGTGGGGAAATTGGCCCGCGACAGGTCATGGAAGCAGCCATCGCTGACAGAGAGTTTCAAACTTTCTCTGTCGTCGACTGAACTTTAATTTTAGAGTTGAGTTATTTCCTAGGTATAGCCAGATAGCAACATTTTTGCTCTGAAAGTGGAGAAACTATTGGTTTGGCATGTATTAATTGAAACTGATCAGACAGAAACTTTCATTTTAATCTTCTGCTTATACCATGTTCATATGAAACTGATTACACACAAACTAAATTTTCAGCTTAAGAAGAACTTAAGCCTCAACTACCCCGATCACTAAATCATACAACATTTCCCCATCAAAACCAGCTGTTCTTTCACATAGCCCTCGAACGTAATTCCATGAAATCATCCATTTTCCGGGACATAGAGATGAGGGTGATTAGAAGTTTGAACAAAAGCAATGTTGTGTATGGTAAAGTTTAGTCTCCCTATTCGTCGTTTGAAAATGTCATGCCAAATGTGATGAAGAAACTTTTTTTTCTTTCACAAATCCAGATTAAAATATGAACCGGAACTTAAAGAAAATAAAAAAATTACTAATAAACTTTAACAAAACAACTAATTAAACACGAATATATAGTAATAATAGTTTAGGTTTCTACACTTAACAAGTCCCTAGTGAATCTAATCCTTGATTTTAAATCCTCTTCACATCTTCCCACCTCAAGTTCATCTTCAAGTCCTCATATGCAACTGCGAAAAATTTATTCGCCTAATCACACACTTCAAAAAAATAGACATAGTCTCACAATCTATATGGTTTCCGAAAACTCTTTTATGTGACATGTTATTGGTGCTTTTTTAATTAACTAAAAACTTTTTAAAACACAATTTCTACAACTACATCTTGTTCTAGTGGTATTTCTCTTCACAAAAGAGATTGCAAGTTCGAATCGCCCATCCCGATTAATATAAACGTAAATAAAAGAAGACATATGAAGGGGTTTAAATCCCAAATTTAGCCAGCTGATATTTCTTTGAAATTAAAGATGTGAGTTTTCTTAAGGCTGATTGATATAGACACCCACACCACAAGTTGGGCAAAAAGAATTAATTTCAAAACAATTTTGCTTTATTAAAAATGGTCTCTCATTGGGTAGTAAATCCCTTTATATTTGAGTCATGCAATGCGAGGCATGAAGGGTCCCTTTCTAGGCCATACCAGAAGAACCCAACAGGACTGAATAGAACATGATCAACAAAAATCAACATTTGAGGCGCTTTTTTTGGTGCCACGTGTGATTAGAGCTTGATTTTTTATTATTTTTTTTTTTATTTTTGTGTGTTAACCTTAAAAATTTATAAGAAATTAATACAAATACAAAAATGTATTGAATTTTTTATATTTTTTATTCCAAATTCCTTGCAACATTATCCTCGACTATGACGTATGAAAACAAAATTTTTACCTTGTTGGGAAATTTGAAGTAATAAACCAATGAAACATACGATCAATTATTAAGAAAAGGTAGAATGATGTGCCTAGCTGTAAAACAATTCACAAAGCAATTCATGACACAAAACTAAAGGAACTCATATCATGCATTTGTGGATGTGCATTTTCAGATCATAAAAAATACTTTTAACCTACTCCGTGCACTGGCGGACCCAGAATTTTTTTAGCGGAGGTGCAATATTGACTAAGTATGAAAATGATTTTTCGAAATAATCATTTTCTCAAGATAATTTTCGGCGGCTTTTATTCCTTATACATCAAATAAGAAAACTTGATTTTGTGGGATTTTAGTATGAAGTATATATTGACTTAATGAGCCATCATTTTTAGCCTAAATCGTATTTTGCACTAAAACCGAATTGTCATATTTTTATTTGGTGGGAATTTGATTTTCTAGTATTTTTATTTGAATCCGAATGGGGGATACTTCCTTATTTACATTGTAAACTTAAGTAAATGGAGTAATATAAAAATAAATAAAAGTAAAAAGACAAAGACATTTACTTAAATGTTGAAAATGGAAATAAGATAATCTGTACACCAGTTGAGCAAAGGGGCAATTTGAAGCACCTACAATGGTTTTTCCGGCGAAGGGAGGTGCAGCTGCACCTCCTTGCGCCTTAATAGATCCGCCCCTGACTCCGTGGATATACCTTTCCACAATGCTTATTTTATTTGAGCCTCTGAAATTACCAATTCTAAATAGATTGGCACGAACCTTAACATATGCAAAGTAGTTCCTTATTTCTGGTACATCACCAAGATAATAGGAATGAGGACGACTCCATCCACCGCATGGAATTTGCACAAACTGCAACAAAATATGGGTCCCTCCTTGGGCATCAAAATAAATAACACAAACAACTTACAAATCATTTCAGTAAGCAGTCTGAGGTACAGCAAAAGACTCTACTTTGGTCTCGGTAATTAAGTTCCAAATAATAAAATCCACTGATGCAAAACCAGCAGCACAATGGCAGCTTGACAACTCATTGACCGAGCTATTATCAGTGGAGACGATTGATTAAGACTCAACTCCTTCACTTGCTTCATCGCTATAAACTCTAATGTCCATTGCTTCATCCCTGTAAACTCTAAAGTCTACTGCGACTAAGCTTTAAAATATAATTTGACACGTAAAATTCAAATAATTTCTCAACGTCAAGTTTGTTTTGATGCTAATAATAATATTATGTTGAAAATCATTACTCTCCTTTGCAACAACTCTTCCTCCAATTATTACTTCAAATTTTCCAAGGCCAAAATTTTATTACCACACATCGTAGTCGAAGATAATGTGGCAAGGAGTTTTTTAAGAAATTTTCGGTGCATTTTTTTCATTTTTTATTCATTGTTTGTGAATTTTTTAAGTTAAAGATACAAAAATGAACATGATGACACGTGGCGCTACGCGATACTAACACCTGTTGGAAACTCTGACAACGCACAATTCAAGTGTCACCACTTCTCAATCTCTTACGTTTATTTCTACTTGTGTATACTTTAACTTCCAAAAATAAGAATAATTCATTAAATAACACGAAAAATACACAAATTGCTTGTGAGCCTATGTACATCTTTTGAGTTCATCTGAAAAATTCATAAAATAGTAATGAAGACTTGTTAGTAAAAAAAATTATTTATGAAGCTTTAGTTAATAATAGTAAAGGATGCGATGTTGAAGCTCTAGAAAATTCTTTTGGATAATGGGTGGAACTCAATGAGTTGGCAATATGACAGTAAAAAAGAATCTATCATCGGCATACATATGAAAAAACTGCTATAATCCATGACATACTGCTACATTATAGGCAGCAGCCTTCACGCCAAACCTGCAGAGATAGTTTGCAATGCCCAACGTTCCTTTTTCTAGTAGGAACATATGTGATGGTTGACCCATTCTCTAAAGGCTCCTGCTGCACAAGTGTTGGTCTTTCTTTCGGTTTATTTGGCAGATCAATAATATGCTTGATCGAGGGATGATATTGGGTGAAAACTAAAAGCAGCTGCTCTTCTCACACGATATGGCTGAGTTTTGTGAATTTGTATTTTTTTCCTTCTTATTTTATTGCGTGTTTGCGAAACTGCACATTCGAACTCTAAAACATAAATTTCTCATAAGCTATTGGTTTTTTTGTTTCGGGGGTTTTTCTGTCCAAGTATTTTTTGGTATTTCGTGAGCACGTTTTCATCTTATTTTCTTTTCATATTTTTTTTCAAAATTAAAATTTCAACACGTTTATTTTACCACTTTACCCCTTTCTAATTAATTCTTTCTGATTTGACAAAAAAAATAAATAATTTTTTCTGATTTCTTATCAAGTTTTGGTGGACTTAGTCTTTGTGATTTCATCTCCTTTTAAAAGAAAAGAAATTGATATTGGATTTCAATACTACTTTCTGAATAGTTAAGATGTAAACTTCTTTTTTTCTAGTTTTTGAGTACACAACATGTATAAGGGCTGGCCTCGTTAAAACTTTCCCGAAGAAAACTACGGTGTAAGAAAGATTACCACACCACACATGCCACCTTATTTAAAAAGCATACCTATAATAAAAGCACGAATTTAAAAAGCATTGATAATCAAGGCCAGGATGTACTACTACCGTAAGTACTGGAGCCCTCATCTCCCTTGGAAGCCTTCCTGTCAATAAATAAAAAGAAAGAAATGAAAATTTGAATAAGCCAAAATTATAAAATACTAAAAACTTAAAAAACATTATAATTAAAACAAAAAATAAAAATAAAAATTCTTACTTGTTTTGCTTAAGTTCGTAGTCGATGTCGTAAGGCATGATTTTCAAGTCATGCTCCTCAGCAATTTTTGTGATCTCATTGTACTCTATTGATGAAGGATCTACGAAGTACGGATAAATGGAAATTTGATTTCCTTCCATTAATGATCGTTAGTTTTGACTTGTATGATTTCTTGTATGTCTTTGATGCTAGTTATAGATAGTTGTTCTAGATTTTTCAGATTTTTTATAGCCCTAGAGATAGCTAAGATGATTAAAACACTCGAAAAACAAAGAGATATTTCTCAGCTATCTCTAGAGTTATAGAAAAATCTAGAACAATTATCTGTAACTAACATCAAAGACATACAAGAAATTGTACGAGTCAAAACTGACGATCAATGGAAAGGAAATCAAATTTCTATTGATCCGTTAGTGATGAAATCTCTTTAGCTTCAGCTGATTTGCGGTTCTTGGGTGAAATGCTTTGAATGTGCCTAATTCTACCTATTTTTGACAATACAATTTTAAACGCGGTGTTAGTGATGAAAGACATATCCAACCTAATTACAAAAGAAGACAATACGGGCTTTTTATAACCGGATGGGGATGGAAATGAATGTTCCACTTCCACCTACCATTCATGATAAAACAAATGCTTTTCTTGCTGAAGAACTCAGTCAACTGTCAACTCATGCAATTCATCCTTTATTTTTAAGTAGTTTGCATGTGGTGTGTGTGTCTAACGTTTTTGTCATTAAAATGTTTTTATCATATTTCTTTTTGGGCTTCTAGTCCCATATTTCATGATATGGCACGTTAAAATATGGGCTGTTATCTGGTGGGGATTTCTATTTGAGAA